AATAACTGAGATAATATGTGTAAAGTGCCTGGATTAGGATGTACCCCGGAAATGAGAGTTTCCTTCTGTGCCAGCCCGGTCTGCCCATTCTCCATTTATTCATTCATTCGTTTATTAAGCAGAGGATTCTGAGTGCCTGTTGTGCTACGAAAGGTACGTGTCTGACCACAGCTGCTCTCATTCTCTTCAAGCAGCCGAGAAAATCGAAGTCGAATGTTAGGATCAAGGCTCTTGGAACCAAAGGCCCTTAAAGCCATAGCTCCCTTGCTTTTGGTTTTCTGACAGTTGGAGGCCTTTTGTTTCTTAGTATCCACTTGTCAGAGGCTGTAGATTAGAAACTGGTGGATTTATTTCCTCTAAATCTATGTTGTCCATTATAGTAACCACTAACCACGTTAGCAGATGCTGAACAAAGTTCTGTTGGTTAGCGGTGTTTGTGTTCTAGGTAGCATGAGAGTTGGATCATTAGTAGATCAGTATTTTAGATCAAGAGAGACAAGAGATATATGAAGAGCTCTCGATTATTCTGCTATATTTATGGGACTTAAAGCAAGTCTCAGGTGGAGCCATATGACATGGTATTATTTCTCCCTGTTCTCAATCCAGAGTATTTTTAGAATAATGTGGTTGATAGGATATAGAGAAGGGCAGATGATCTTTCCATTAAAAGATAAGCCTTATTTCTATGACTTGTCCTTTGTAAAGATTTTAGGACCTGAGGCAATGGCCTTTGCTTGTTTTGTTGTTTTTAAAGTCTTTTACAGGCTGAGGAAGGGTAAAAATATTATTTCGGGAATCTCTTAAAGAATCTGTTAGCCGCACTATCTTTTCTGGTAGGTCTTTTTTTTTTCAAGTAGCAATGTAATTACTAGTCATGGTCTATACTATACACTTAATTAGGTCAAGATAATTTTTAATTATATTCTATACAAAATACTTTGTATTAACTCTGTGTTCTTTAATGTACTTAATTCTTTTGGGTCACCTCACCCCCTGCCCCCACCCTTTAAAAAGTAAAGTATAACTCACACGCAGGAAAATGCATAGGTTTATGTGTATGGTGTGAATTTTAACAAGGGTATATACTCTTGTGAACTACTCTGCCCTCTGGGCCCCTTTCCCACATACCCCAAACTGTTGATTTCTGTCAGTATAAATCAGTTTTACCTGTTCTTGAACTTTGTGTATCAAGAATGATACAGCATGAATTCTTGTGTCTTCTGTCGCTCAGCATAGTGTTTTACAGATGCATCCATTTTACTTTGTATATCAACACTTTGTTGTTTTGTTTTTGTTGAGTAGTGATCTATTGTATGACTACAGTACAATCTGTTTATGCATTCTCCTATTGATGGGAATTTATGTTTCCAGTTTCTGACATGCCAAAGCTGCTACAAATATTTGTGTACAAGTCTTTTTGTAGACACAGGTTTTACTTTCTCTTGGGTGCATATATAGGTCATAGGGAAAGTGTACATAACTTTGTAAGAAACTGCTCAACTTTTCCAGTGTCTTAATACCATTTTAGATTCCCATTAGCAATGTTTGAGAGTCCTCATTGCTTTACATCTTCTGCAACAATTGGTGTGGTCATTCTGATTTTCTCCATTCTAGTGACTGTATTTCATTGTGGTTTTAATTTGCATTTACCTGATTTGAATGCCTTTTTCATGAGCTTATAGGCCATTCCTATAATTTCTTCAAGTGTCTTCAAATCTTTTGCTCTCATTAACATTTAAAAAAAATTGATATGGACCCTTATTCCTCTTTTCCCTACACCACTTTCTTAAAAACCATAGTCAAACTGGCACAGTTTTTAAAAAATCCTAGACAGGTTTTTCTATAGAAAAAAGTACTTGTTGCTACTAGTGGCCTAGAATTGTGATAAGTCCTAAGTATTTTTTGAAGGGCCTTGAAATACCATTGGAGGTATTTCAAGAATGAGCATTGTAAGAATTTGCTTCTGATAAGGCAATTACATATTAGACATACTCATTAAATCAAGTCTTTTATTCGTTCACTGCCAAGAAATTTGAAATGAGACAGATCATTTACATATACTCTCTCCCCTTTGAAATGCTTATTTTGGTAGATACATTAGAATTTATCCAAGTTCTTGGCTTAGGATCCTAGGACTGCTTTACTTCTGTGTGACTTCTCTTCCTGGCTCAAGTGTGTGACTGCCATGACTATGATCTAGATGTTTTAGGACATGTTAATGATGCCAGGTCTGGACTCTTTGTATCACACTGATGGAAAATGCCCTGAGCCAATCTGGAATGTACTGCTACTAGGACTTCTTGATAGGTAACAGTAACTGCAGGAAAACTCCAGGTCCTTGGGGTTTATCCACTCCACAACCTTGCTACCAGGTTATATATATAATGAAAGCCAATCTCAGATAATAAATTTTCCTGCACAACAGTCACTTATTAAATATTCTTAGCAAGCAGGCACAAAACAACAATCTCTCCTATAAGCTTAGCTCCTGCAGTTTTAGGTATTCTGACCATTCCTTTTATGAAAGGTTCTATGGGGGCGCCAAAAATAATTTTCCTTCTACCTTTCTAAGTTCTTTGGCTGGGCTAGTAGTCAAAGTAACGTGAGACAGATTAACAGGAGAAAATCTCTGAAATTATTTCAGATGCACACGTGGGGGGGTGCCATAAGAATATGAGACCCAAGGAGGCATTAGGCAGTTGTGCCATTCTGGACAAAGGAGAGGGAGGCAAGGGTCTGGGATTTCAAAGGGGAAGCAGACAGTTTACTGGTAGAGAGCGCAAGCTCGTGATAAACAGATTCTTGCTGGTGTACCCAGAAACAACGGGACACTGAGGGAAGGCCAACAAACAGGCTTTTCCAGATTCCTCCCTGTCTGCCACATTTAATTTATATTATGATGCTAAAGTCATGCTCCTTTCCTTTAAGCAGGCTTTTCTCTCTGAATTCCTCAAGTGGGGGGAGGTCAAGGGTTCTTTCTGCGTCTTTTGTTTCTTAGCAACTAGCTTATAAATCAATATCCCAAAAGGTGTATTTTAGGCTGGCAAAGTGCCTGTTGCCTTGAATTGCCATGAATGGAGGTTGTCCCCAAACCTCACCAACAAGAGCCTTTTCAAACTCCTTTGGTTTTTACCAGTCTGAAGGAAAACTACACCTTGTAGTTTAAATTTGCATTTTTTAAATTTTTTAAGAACATAAAATTGAAGGTGGGCATCTTCGTGAGATGAATTTAAAGTATTTTTCCAGTTTATCTCTTGACTTTGTTTATGTGCCTGTTGCCACGGGACCCTTTTAAAAATGGGTATCAATTCAGCAGTCTCTCCTCTGATGGCCTTTAGATTTGTACCGCACAAAAAAAGAATTCATGGTTTTGTTTGCATTAAAAGTCTTTGATTCGCCTGGGATTTTAGAATCAAGTTGGGATGGTTTACTTTTTGAGGCAAAAACATAAATGTGGCATATAATATATATTGTATTCGGATTATAAATACAGTGTAGTTCTTGGGAAAGAGTTGTTGTTGTCTTGCTTGTCTGTTAAGGGGGAGGGTCCTCGCAAAATTTTTCAAGGATTATTAAAGAAACACTTTTCATTTATAACAAAATTGGAGCTATACTCATGGTATCTTAATTCTTTTTCGCTTGAGACTAAAAGGAACATAGGTTTAGAAAATACTTTCAATGGTTGTTCAGCACGATGTCAGGTTTTTTCTACGCATACTAAGGCTTTAAAGGAATGAATGGCCGCAGTAGGAGGCTTACCTTTAAATTCTGAACTATTTTGAAGGCATCCGCCTTAAATAAGGCTGCAGCCCTCCCACCAGCCCGACGCCCCACTCCGGGGGTGCCT